CACATACCTATTATTCCTCCTGCATCAAACAGAGTGGACAAATCTGCTGATGTTGTAGCACCATACTTGACACCACCAATACCTGGGAAAGAAAAAAATATCAACTATTAAGTGATTCAGAAAAAAGTTCATGACTGCTCAATGATAGTCCACCCACACACCCTCTACTTTGTCTGGACTCCGTTGAGATGATGAGCAAAAGATTAACCACAGGGGATATTAAGGAGTCACAACACAGGGGGTGGGGGCTGAGTCACTCTTGCACTCTCCTCTCACTATGACAAACAAAGAAAAATAACTCACAGGAAAAAAAGACAGATGGGCAAACAGGGGGACAGACTACAGTAACTGATTGACAGATGGAGGAGTGGAATATGTTAACTTATTAACTGGTAGCAAACTTATTACATAACATTGCTAATTAATATGGAGTTACTTACTTGTATTTTCAATATAATATGGGAGCCAGAAAAGGAAAGTGTAGCTAACCAGTTTAGCGAAGAACAAGCACAATGAATACTCAATCACCCCCTGAAGCAAAAAAATGGTACACTTTAATATTCATTTCCTTTGCATGACGGACAATGTTTTGCACATAAAAATAATATAATTGAAGAGCTAAAGACAATCCCTAATCCAGTGTGCTTTCATAATTATTATGAATACAATTACTGTGATTCACAAGGAAGGTTATTAAATATAAAGCAAATATGTTGCGCTAGTTAATTAAGATGTTATCCTTTCTTAACCACTGACTTTCCAACAAGAATCACCATTGAGGAAAGACCCCCCACACCCCCTTCCCCTCCCCCAACATTCCTTCTTCAAATGTCATCTCCAGGAAGATACTATCAATCAGATGTAACCAATCAATTTACAACATCACTGATGTCAATGAAATTAATGAGTAGTTTCTCTAAAACTGCCACTTCCCTCTGTCCCCAAGGTGGCTGTTGATCTTGTGCAGAGCTTTGACTGTAGTATCACTCAAAAAGATCTTGATTTACACGGAACCATGATAAGCAACACATACACGTACATGTTCCACCCCAAAACCTCAACCCTGAGAAAGCTGAATTCACTGAGTCAAACTTCTTAAATAACCAAAGGAAGCTTATTGTTTGCACCTCATCATAACACGAGCACCTTAGAAAGGGGATTAGTGGCCTTGGAGATAACCCTCAGCATCCCTCCCAACTCTCTCTGCAAAAGACAAAACACCACTAATCCGACTCACTGGTATAAGAACCGCTCTCCAGAAACTGACAGCGTTAACTTCTACTGAGTCATCTGATGGAAGTACTGACGATGAAGATGAAGCTGATGATGATGACGATGACTCATGTGACTCATGTGGTAACTGAAATGAACAACAACAACAACAACAGTCACTGTACTGTGCAGACATTCAATTGATGAGATTTAAATCTTCATTGGAGCTGGTATTTTCTATTTACAAACCAGTTACATTAGACAGAAGAAGATTAAATAGATTACATGGAAAACCAGCCTGTTTCCAATAAATGTCCTCCTTTTCACTCCATAGCCTAATATTATTTAGCATCCTGTGCGCTAAATTAAAGTTACCTTGAGATGGAGTTCACTATTTTAACACCCTGCAGTTTTACATTATACCTAAGTTCCACTTAAATTTTAAATTAAATATCAAATTATGCTTTAATCTACACATGTATTGAGACATCCATCGGATTTAAGAACTAAGTAAAAGCCCTCAGTACTTTGGAATTTACTACATTTAATAAATATATTATTGACACCTACCTTTCTTTTGACATTAATTGGTTGTGATTTGAATGCATATGGCTCTTTTAAAATATCTTCTTTCTTCAATTTGTCAGTCTGCAAACAGCAAGAGCATTGGCAGTCAGAACTAAACAACATGTCACTCTAAATGAGTTACTTCGTTCTAATCCCTTTTACATCATGCGCCTTTTCAATACATGTACTAATACTGATACTTATCTCTATTCGACTATTAATTATAAATAATTAAAGCTTGAAGTTGAATCTAGAAGTAGAAGGCTTTATTTAGGTCAGTATCACACCCTCGCAAAGCATTTTTTGTGGTAAGAACCAGCATTACTTAAGCTGTTCCATTTACGATGGTCCCTCAGCCATGTAGAGTGACCATATGCACACAATCTTCCAGAACTGGAGGCCACTATCCCTTTGGTGGTGGCACCATGAATTGCAACCTCTGTGAGTGAACCAGCATTAACAACAGCAATTGCTAGCTCTACGAATATATTCAGTAACCAGTATGGAGCTCATAATCAAACTCAAACGAGGATCATTTCTAGCTCTGGTTTTGGACTTTGTCCAGAATGTCAGTGGTTTTTGGCAACCACTGACCAAAACACATGTGGGTATTTTGGGAACAAGAATGAAATGTACTTCAATATGAACCTTAATGTCCAGGACCGGGTTGTTCGAAAGCCGGTTAATGCTAACCCAGGATTAAAAGTTAACAGAGGTATTAACTTTTGTTGTCTAAAAATGATTCTCATTGCCTATGTTTTGCGTAGTTTGAGATTATTCAAACTCAAAACTGAATAATACTGGGAACACAGCTTCTGGTTATAAAAGTCTTACCTCGCTAAAAACAACTTCTGTACTATATGAAGAATCAGAATCAACAGGAAGAGGCTAAAAAAAGAAGAATAACACAGAGCATAAAAAAATTAAATCTACTAAAATGACAATTTACCAAAGCTAACTGCTATCAGCTTACAATGTAGCAGGCTCTTCCAGTCAGTGGTCAATCTAACAAGTGCAGGCTCACATGGAATGTGCAACTACATTAAGGCTACGTATTGAAAGCTAACCACCCTAACCTTAGCAGGCTCTTCCAGTCAGCAGTCAGTCTCACAAGTGCAGACTCAAATGGAACATCCAACTACGCTAAGGCTCGAGTTCTCAAGCATTTTTGTAGTGGTTGTTTGTCAGTGGTCCCGAGTGGTGTTGTCGCAGTTGTTCTCAAGTATTCCTCCACCCCACCCCACCCTCTGTTTTTTTCAATATTGATCAGTGTTGATGGGTGCCTGGCATGGAGGTTCATGGCTGGGTTGTGGAGATTTGCTAGCCATCGGGGGCAGTATTCTATCTGAGGACGAGCTGGACACAGTGGAATCCCCTGTACACCCCAGGCACCCACCCGTGAGGCAGCTGGTTAATGCTTCATAAAGTTACAACACATCACACAAATCATTTCAAGATGCATGCACCTTAGGCAACTGCAAAAATAAAGTAGGCCTAGAAAAAAATATCAGGTAACATACCTGTACGTCATTGTGTTGATGGGGAGATGTGCAACCCACGTGACTAGGATCTGACAACAGACAAAAGAAATTAATTTGAAAACATTGATTACAAAACAGACTGATTCTCCTTATTGATTTACTGTTCATGATTTCTTTTCACATCAGTTTATTGTTCATGATCTCTTTTAACATCAGTTTTGAAAGTTGCTGAAAAATAGGTTCAAAGTTAATTCAATATTTTTTTTTTCTTTTTTCAATTGTTTAACAATTAGAGTGCATCATGAGTAGATTCAAGCATGAAGGAAGCTTCTTGAGTGTTCTTTGATCTACAAACTTCCCAAGAGCATAATAACTCAAGCGATGAACTTTCAACGTTGCCCAACAGTTTCCAGTCACATGTAATGTCATGCTGACCGTCTGTAGAAACATTCAAGTTTTAATTTGAGCAAAGTTACTAATGAAGGAAAGAAATTGCAACTTGAAACAGAGCAATACATTTAAAAATGTCCTTAACTCTAATAACTCTATCACTTCTTACTTCTTCACTACTCATGCGCGTGACTCAAAGGTGAGCCTGCTCGCAGGCTAAGTAATGCTGCAGCAATACCTTACTGAGAATGCACTACCTTACTGCATAACCAACAAAAAACTACATAACAGTTCAATCTGTAATCTTTGTTGAGTCTGTTGTTACCAAGTGAAAGAACAGGAATAGTAACGGTAATATTGAGGTAGATTACACAGAGTGCTTACCTACAACAAGGAATAAGAATACAATTATAGCCATTCCACCGATGATACATCCAGGTACAATGAATGAATATCCCCTGTGGGAATCAAAGATTTTAAATTCTAATCATTAATTGATTACAAAATGTGGAAAATTTGCAAGGAGTGCCAAAAGTTGATGATAAAAACAAGGATAAAGCAGTAAAGTCAATCAGCAATCCTAAGGAGGCATCTCATAAATGGACCAGAAAAAGAAAGCTCAACACGAAATGGCAAGCTGGGCATCCATGATTATGAGATACTGAAAACTCGCCCGAGTAATGAGTGCTGTCTAAATTTAGTTTCCAACTCTGCTTCTTTTACTTTTTGAGAAGCTTAACTATGGAGGCAATTGTTTATAATGCACAAGTCATAGAGTTATCCCTTACCACTCGCTGCTTGCCCATACACCAGCTATAGCAGACCCGAGGATATTGCCTACAGATGTGTGAGAATTCCATATTCCCATTATCAAGCCACGCCTGGAGAAAATAAAAAATAAAATAAACATAACTTTTAGTGACGCGTCAAGCTTCTGGCTAGCCTAAAGGGCTTACTAATCAGGGATCCAGACACACACAAAATTGAGCTGGAATTTGGGGTGTTGGTTTATGAATTGGGTGGAAAATGTCCAGAGAACGAATTCAAAGTAAAGCTGCTAGTACTTTGTCTGGCGCTGTAGGCCAGTTCAGTCTATCTGTGAGTAGCATTTCCTTTATCATCTTCGGAACTTTATAAAACAGCCAAGAAGAGACAGGAATTTGCTCATTTAAAACAGATTGAATGATGTTTACCTTCCTTTTCCAAACCAATTTCCAACACACTCAACAACACTAGGCCAGCCAGAGCTCTGGTGAAAACAGATAATCATTCCAATAAGTACAAGATCAACTGGCTTGTGAGAATACTCAACACATTCATTTACAGCAGAGCTCTATGAAAATTAATCACAAGCTTCTTTTGGAGAATCACTAATAGCTGTTGTTTCATTATGTAACTATGAAGGAAAACATGCACATGTTGATCACTCTCTAATTATTAAAATAATGGCAATTCCAATTAACAAGTCTCAAAATTTAAAGCTCTACATGTACACACCTGGAAAAATCCTGAGAACACCTGATAAAATAATAAAGAGAAAAATGAAATACTGGTTATCAATTAATGCCCTTAGCAATTAAAATAAAATGTATAGCTCAATCCAGTTAACAAATAATTAATTCCTTCCCAGCCAGGTCTCCCAAAATATTTACAATTAATTAATCACTGGACCAGTATCTGGTCAGCTCCTTGTGTATGACTTGTGTATAAGTGCTGGGCTGAGTTTTTAGTTTATTAAAGGCTAACTTGTACACGGGTAATACTATTGCAGTAGTTACATGTATAGTCTGTTACCCTTCCCTGCCCCCAGCCCATCCCCCTCACAAAAGCCATCTGATACAACCACTAATCAATCACAGAGTTGTTTGTTCTTCTGCTGGGGTAGCCTTTTATGATCACAGATAAATTCTAACATGTATTGCAACAGTTTATTATCAGCATACAGAATTTGCTGCATAATAATTACCTGGATAGTCACAAAATAAGCAAAATTGTGAAATTTCCAGAAATATCCCAAACCAAAAAACACAGACATGAGACCACTTGAAAGCATGCCAAGTGTAAGAAAATGCCGCAGGTCCATGTGTTCAGCGACAAAACCACTGCAGAAAAAAATCAACAAGGACAATGTTATCAAGAAGCTTCCATTCAAAACAGCAGTCTGAGATATGATATCACTGCATTATGACCCAGAAAGACAGTGACAGCCCTAGCAAATCTGTAAATAACTACAAGTTACAGTCACTAGTCTGGAAATGGAGCAATGGATAATGAACCTTGTGGTTTATTGTTGTTTTGTCAGTGACCAGACCCATGCTTTCACTTGGCCAACTCCTCAGCCCGACAATTCTGAATCATGCAATTTTTTATGTTTACTCTCCAGGAGTTAAAGTTATTAAATTAAATTTATTAATCCCTGAGCACTAACAACTTTTCTGCTCTTTATTCTATGTGATAATGATTATAATTTTTCTTTGGTTTTAATCAACAAGAGTTTGGCTTGAAGCAAGACCACACCACTTGTGACTCACCACTTGTGACTCTGACACTGATTATTAGAATCTACAGTACCTGAAAAACATGCCGACAGCATAGGAGAATAGAAACGCCAAGTCTAATGCTCCAAGTAACTCATCTCCATCATCGGAATCTGGTCATATAAGAGAAATAAATTTATCTGATTAATCCAATGAAGAAAATGTTAACAATTAAGTAAACATGATTAATTAATTAACTAATTAACTACTTAATTAATTAATTAATTAATTAATTAAAAATCCCTGATGACAAGTCTTAATACACATAGGTTAAGTCTGCGTCAGGCTAATGGCTCATACAGCAAGCCTGTTGGCAACTTATCCCAGATTCTGTTGCATGAAGCGACTACATGTATAGGAATATTTCCATTCACACTAGATGGCAATCCAGCCCAGCAAAAAAAAAAGTTTTTTACACTTGGTGTGTCATCTTGAGATTTTACTGACTCAACCTACATGTGGCTGTGACGAATGTAAATTTATGTAGATGCAGGTCTATATGTAGACGTAGATCTATGTAAAAAAGTGTTCCACAAAAATTTCCTTCATTCTAAAGAAAAGTACAAAAAGGAAGACAACTTACAGCAATTCAGACAAAGCAGAAAAAGACATGAGGTACTTATCTTCTAAATATTCATGGAATGAGCAGTTGTTTACTGTTCCTTTATACAAGTAGATTTCACTTGAGGAGAGTTACTCTGGATTTGCATTACTATGTTAAGCAATTGGCCTAAAAAACTGCCCTCGCATCAGCTGCATGTATTTGCCTCAAGTTTTGATTGATTAAAACTGCCAGATTGTCTGAGTTATTTGTGATTAACTAAGAGTTATTTTGATTTTGGTCTTACAGCACTCAATTGAAAACCACTTTTAATAACTGTTATCAAATGTTAAGAGCAACCAACCCCATCCAAACAAGATGCTATTGTAGCAGACTAAAAATTACAGCTTTATTATTTTGCATTTTCCTCAGAAACAAAGCAAAACAAGCAGAAAAAGACAACATTCTCCTTTTAAACTGAAGACCACAAGCTATCAAGCAGAAACACACTCTAGCACTTTTGAGGGAAAATACTTTAATTTGCCCAAGTTGTTCTCTTGGAAAGGTTTAAACCAACCCATTCAATTGTTTACAGGTGTAAGTCTTGGATCACATGTTTTCAATTGCAATACTTAAAATTATGCTTTTTTTTTACCCTTAATTCAATTCTATTTTACAACAACAAGGCGCTATTTACTAAAAATACTTCCTGCCATATGCGACTTAATTAAATTACCTAATTAAAAGCATTAACATATACAATATATATGTATATAATACGCAAACTTACCAAAAGGTTTCCAGCCATGGCAAGTTGCTTTAGCAGAACAATTTGGATTCAGTGTTCCCTTTAAACAAAACAAGGAAACGCAAGAAATTAAACTGAATAAATTTCCTGTCTTGAATTTACCTGTCCATTCTCATCTAATAAAAATAAACAGAATATTCTCTATTAAAATAATACTGTGACCTGGCCTCTTCATTATCTCATCATAAACATCAACATCATCTTTTATTTGCTACACCGTAAATAATAATAAAAACTCACAGCACTAAAAAAAACGCAGTGAAGGGACCTCCAAAAAACAACCAGGTTTATAGCGGATACCACCTCAGTTGTTAATATATTGCAAATTCTAAGTTCTATGGTCATGGCATGACCACAAGCTAAGGAGCAGAAGTGTTTTGAGAGTCAAAGCTTATCATGTGAAAGGTTGTTTGACAACTCTACTGTGATAGTCACAGGTCAAACAGCACAATTTTAGGATGACTGCAGATTGTACCTGGGCTGAGCAATTGAAAATGTAATTTACATGTATGATTGCTTTGCATGAAGTTAAGGCAAAGGAATTATTTGCTTCATCCTCTTCCAGTAAGACTTTGAAACACCAAATGTGATGCACGAGTTTTCCTAGATTTTTGCAAACAACAGTAGCAAGATTCTTTTGTTTTCCATTTAACATGTGGCATGCTATACTCTTGTTTTTCAAGTGCACATATCTGTAACATGATGCAAATGCTGCAATATCACACTTTCTTTTCCTGAAAGCAGCATGACATAAATTTGTATATTTTTTTTAACAAATGATGCACTGCATATGCACAATAAAGTTGAACTGCAATGCTCAGACGAATCTAAACGCTTTTACAAAACTTAGACTATCACAATAAAAGCATTGAATCATTTGATACAAATATATCTTTGCAGAAAAACTTATGTTAATGCAGATAATGGCCATTCAATAGTTTGTGTCATGTTCATACATGCCCGTGCAAGAGTTTGCAGGACAACAGGATAGCAAATGTAAATATTCAGCCTTATTCTGCACTACAATTGAATCAAGTCCTATTTCTGTGAATTCCCAGACTATTTTGCATATTGCTTAAGTTACAAATTCATGACTAAGAAGTGGCAGAACATAGGTAACAGAAAATTACGCAAGTTCATTTTGCCTCTGTCCGCGCTCTCAGTTGGTAAGAACCCAGCATTAATGATCATAACGTAATGGATACGGCATCAGCCTGCATTACTGATAATGTAATTAATCAGCTGGAAATCTGTGAGAAAGAAATCCTGTTAATGCTTGCTGGAACAAATTTTTCCAAGAACAATTTCCAACAAACATCTTTATGTATGCTTTGATTTGATTTAAATTTTATGATAATGTAATATTGGATAGAGTATCAGCCGCATTACTGATTATGTAATCAAGAGGAAATTTGTGAGAAAGAAATTCTGTAAATGCTTGTTGGAACAGATTTTCCAAGAATATTTTCCAGCAGACATCTTAATATATGCTTTGATTTGATACAAAACACTGCTGAGAAAGAAATGATTCCTTGTTTCTGAACATGTTAAGCACATACAATTCTAGTTCCAATGTAATAATCGTGCATTTTCAAGCCGGCCGGCGAATGACTTAACTCACCATGTGAAGTTACACGGCCGATCTACAGCTGTGACATGTGAGCACAGCTGAGACATGAGCGAACAGTTTCCAAAGGTTTTACTTCACTTTACTTAAGGTTTTAATTTACTTTACTTAAAGGCACTTCAGAGCTACACTGTATTTCATTGCTACAAAACAACCTTTCGTTAATGAAAGTTCTGCGATCCTTACCTTCACGACACTTATGGGTTTTCGTGAAAGGTGGTAAGATGTGTACGCGAAGAAAGTTAAAATAAGCACCCACCCACGATATCTGTAAACGAGGAAATAACAACATCAAAACATGAAATCCTTGATAACCAACAGAGATACACTGAAGGTAAAACGACAAATATCGATATAATGATAAAATAAACTTACGCTTGAGTTCGATCGCGTCCAATCCATTGAATGAACCGTATTCCGTAAGGAATCTTTTTGTGACTATGTGCACGAAATTGCATCTCTGGGTTCGTCATCATTCGCGAAATAATTTAAGGTTGTAAAGGGGTTAAGCGTAGAAGATAAATCAGAACTTCGGTTCAGAGACTACCTGTAGAAAAATGAAATTCAGTTACTTAAAAAAATCAAATAGAATACAGCCTAACAACCTTCACAGTAAGACTTACAAGTATAATTTTAAATTTAATATTAAGACTTCGAAAGACTGCAAATGCGTTTGATTGTATAAGCTGGGTTACCGGTATATTCGCAACGCAAGATCGCGGTCATTTTCGATCTGGAAATTTGGCCATCTACATCAGTCACTTTATAAGTCCCTTAATATTTCACTTACCGACTTCTGAAGAGATTAAAAGAGTTTAACTTTGCTGTTAGCCGGCGTAATTTTTGATTCATTATAAAACTTCACTTCAACCAATTATATACTTTAGTCATGTGACAGAAAGCCGAGTGAGCTTGTGGACGAGCCTTGAGTTGCCATAACAACCTTGTTGCCACTATAAAGATTATTGTCCTCTCAGGATCAGCTCCTCGACAGAAAGGGAAAATGTCAACACATTTTAGCGCAAATCAGGTATGGTTACCTTCTCTGGAAAGGCTAGTGCTTAAGATTAAATAACGTAAGCGTAAATGTTGGTAAAGGTTACTTCAATTGCGGCATATTTAGCTTAAGCTACCCGCTATTATAAGGCATCGTTTGCGGCCGTACTTTGTAGACATATATAATTTAACAACCGGCATCGACCGAAGCTGGCTCGGGTCACTTCGCGATCCAGTTTTAAAATGTAAGCTAACTGCTACATTTTTTCTGTTCTTTTGCATTCTGCAGTATGAACAAGCCTTTGCTGCTAAACGGTTGCAAAATTGGGAAATTCCGAAGCGGTTTAAGGAGGTCAGTCTTGTGTTTTGTTTTATCAAATGGCAACAATGTCCCTCAAATTATACGTGCATTTCACACAGTTACACTTGATGCTCGGTTTGGGTAAAGTAAGGATATCATTGAGGGAATGACTGTGAAGCGCGGTAAACTTCAAAGGAGGAAAAAAGACATGCTAAGAGTTATGTTGGAAAGTTCAAGACCATGCTTGCACCCAACACATGTCGGTTGAATTACGTTAACCCTTCCCTTTCTATTGGTTAGAACTGTGACCGGGGATCCAGGGGATTCGTTGTTTGCAATATGTGATTCACACAAGATATCACCAATTATTTGGCAGAAGGTCATACAGTGTCACTTAGTATCACATGGGCTAACAGGTTATAACAAGATAATTTTCACACAATGCTCACTCACAGCAAGGTTTATGAATCACACGGGCACACAGTGCATCACACAGCATCACACGGAGTCACAAGGAAAACCGCATTACTACCTCGTATCACAAAGTATCATATACCACATCACCAGTTATTGTGAAGTATCACAAGATTTTTCAAGAAATTACACAACATCACCAGATATCACACCATAAAAAAGAAATTGTCAACCTCTGATGATGGAATTCTACTGTTCGTTTTGGTTTGATGAATCTCAGTTTTCCCCAAAAAATATGAACATTTGACCTTAGGTTAATATGAAAATGAGTTCTGCAAGCGACGCTAATAACTTAAATTTGGCGGGTATTAAGCAAGAGTTGCACTTGATCAATGATTGATATGAGATGACTATAACAAATGCAGCACTAAGCCTCTTGTTTATTGTTTATCACCTCGTGCTTCCAGATCAGGCTTGTCGAATGATTGTTTAAGCTATCAAAAAGTATTACCAAGAACCAAAAGAGCGCAGCTCTCACATTATCGTAAGGTGGCAAAAACTATTCATCTTTCCTTATACTTCCATCTCCAGTGCTCCAAGCTGCCACCATTTTGGTCCATGACGAGTGAAAAGCATTTGGCGACTAAATTTTCCTAACAGGTTGCAATTTTCAGCTAGTGTAGTGCAAAAGGCTGATTGCTAATGAACAAGTGAACATTTTTTTTGTGGTCTAAATCACAAGCTACTGTAAGCCAAATGAATTCAACCACATTTTTTGTATGTTTTTTTTCCTTACCTGTTCCTTTTTTTCTTTTATTTACATTCCTGTACAGTCATTGAGACTGTTCAACAAAAAAAACACAGCTGCCACAAAAACTTACGCTTCAAACAATTTCAATGTGGGCTCATTACAAAAGGAAGTCACCAAAAGGTGATTTCTGATAAAAATGAGCCTAGAGCCCTGTTCCCAGCATATGATAATAATTATTGTGCACACTCGTGTCATACCCTGTGAGAGATTTCATACCTTCTGAGTTCCTTTGACATTGTGTGAACACTGTGATGCATTGTGAGTCCTTTTTGAGTCTCCAAATTTCTTTGCATGTTGTTAGATGGGAAGGTAGGAGATGATGAACCCACAATCCTTGGTGGTCTTAGTGCTCAATTGGGTCCGGTTGACCTTGCTTATGAGAGCAGGAGAAAAAGGAGGGGATACAACATAATGGAATTTGCCAGGGAGGGGTTGGGGCAAAGGTTAGATGAATATATTCATGCTTGACAAAATCTAGTTAAAGAAATATTGAAGTGATCTCTATTGTGTGTGGCAAAAATAGACTTGAAAAGTAAGAAAGACCCTAAATACATTTATGGTGCTTAATGCACCCTTTTACTGTTGCCACTGGAAAAGGTTTTGCTTAAATTTTGAATTTTTTTTTACAATTTTTTTGCTGGCTTCTATTTGAACAGGCCAATCAAAACATGGGAACTGTCAAGGGCAGAGATGTCAAATTGTCAAATTCACTCTCATGGGGCCGGAATTTCAAAACTTTTAACCTGTGAGCATTTGAAACAGGTGGCAAGTTGCCAAGGTTGATTGGCTGTTTGAAACAAAGGATGGTAATTAATGGTAATTAAGACACAAAGAATTGTAATAAAAACAAAAGAGAAAGCATAGTAATATATTTTGATGATTTCTTTAAGATTTAAACAACAACAACCTGTTCTTACAAAAGAAATAGAGTCTACCAGAAAAATAATCAATAGTTGGGTTTGTGTTGCATAATTATACTTTTATAACATCGCTAGTGAGGTGGTTTGGCTGCATCAAGCAAATCTTGTGCTTCTTATCTTTCACACTCTTTAAAATTCCTGCTGGCATCATGACGTGATGATGCATGCTAAAGCATGAGCTAAATTCAGTTGTTAATTCATTGAGCTCTCTGCTGCCACCCCCCATCATCACTTCAGGAGTATTCTGTATGTTTGAAATTTATACAATAATTATTCTTGATGTTACGTATCTCAAGAGGAACAAAACTACAGTATTTCACCTGAGATGACAGTCATCTGTTCTGCTCTGCACTTAATTTCTCACCTTAATTCATGATTGGAACATTTTCTTTACACTAGAGGCCATCCACTCTTGAGGGATTTACGCAACCCATCAGTAATGACCGCGGCCATATTTTGCCTGGAATCCCGCGCTCATCAAAAAGTCCATGGGGTGAGTTTGTCGGAACATGGGACATGGAAAAGGCTCCTCTCAGGACAAAAACCATGAAGACTACTGCAATGTCTACAGGCATGCAAAATGCTGAAGAGGTCATTGAAGAAAAGGCACCAAGCCCTAAGCAAGAAGTTGTGCCAGAGAAAGCAAGAACTCCAACACCCCAGCAGGAAGCTATAAGAACACCAAGCCCCAAAGAGGTCCAAGAGAGAGCAAGTTCTAGACCTCTGAGTCAGGATAACCAATTTAAGAAGTCACCCAGTCCTGCTAAAGTGAAAACTCCTGACCCCCCTGCCTCTCCTGCCAAGAGCCCTATCCAAAATGACAACTCGCCTAAGAAGCGAGTTGTATTGTCTGACCCAGTTTAATTAATTTCTGCATCCTGTTGTGAACTGTAAGTAAAATCTTTGATCAAAATGTAAAACACACTGACGCAGTTACATGACGATTTTGAGTGATTTTCTTTTTCGTGCGTGTTACATTCATTTTACTTGCCCCTCGGAAATGATTTATTTTCAACATCATTATGACAAGCTAGATCGCGTGAGACTTTCTCGCACTCGTGCGATCTTTTTTTTCCTCTCGAGAATTCTTTATCGTTTATACGTTCAAAAGACAAAGGAGTTACTCGTATTCCAAAGGATATTTAATCCTGTGAGTCACATCTTTCTATCTTGCACTCAGTTACAAAAGCAAGACGAAGGTTGAAGCTCGAGTTGTACAGTAAAGAACAGCTCCGAACAGGAATGGGCGCATTTGTGGGGGATACCACCGCAATTGCCCAAGCTGACGACTCACATGATGTGTGACACAAATGAGTTCTTGTCTCACGAGGCAGGAAGGGAACAAATGACTGATCAAACTGCAAAGTATCACGGCGCCTGAATAGCGCTGGGCTTAGCTTAAATAGTACTTCAGTCGGCCTACATAGCACACCTGTTATTTGAAGGCCCCACTGATACATTACTCACAGATACTTACACTTGCTTTACACGTCTTTCACAAGAAACGTTGCCCACGGCTTGAAACATAACGATCAATCAACGAGTGGTAATTAACCGATTAATTTCGCCTATTTAAATTACTAGTTAGGAACGTTTTCTATTGAGTAGAAATCTCTTTTACTCGTGATGTCTAGCCAAAACTATCGGTGCAACTCTTAGGAAATATATTTCTATTCTTGCGCACGTTTGCCGAAAACAGACCCCTTATTTATCAGAACTTATCAGCATAACACGCGAATAGTTTACAATTCGTTACAAGTAGAAGACTATTTCCAGGTCAAATACCATACCCTTAGCAACGTACATTACCCCAAAAATTGAAAATACTGTGTCGCAAAACTGGAAATCTGAGATTTCCGCACTACACATTATTTGCCATGGACCTTGGATGGTTGATCTCTAACTCTAAATGGAATTAATCTGAGCGGGATAGAAACAAACTCAGAACAGTGCACTTCACGTTTTCGCAAAAAAAAAAAAAATGAGGGAGGAGCAAAGGCTTTTATGCCATTTTAAAAAGGTGTAACCACTGGATTTCCTTTCAAGAGTTTTTCCTCTATAAGTCAACGATTCTTGAAAAAAAATGTTATTGTTAAAAGTCTTTCCTGCATGCAATGCTGTCGATTTTCGTTGGAAATTTTACCGAAGGCTAGCTAGTTTGGCAATAGTAACGTAACGTGTTGGACAGGTATCAAAACACGAATTAATTAATTTTTATCCTGTACCTGGTCGGGGGTTCTCTTCCAAATGACCACTTAGCGTCTATCCCCGGGGCCGGGGCACAGATTGGGAGACCGAAATTTTGGATGGCTGGCCGAATTGCGAAGTATTCGTAACAGACTGCCCTCTCGATAGACTATTCTTGCTGTTAAACCTTTGGCGTTGATCAGTGTAAAATTTGAAGAGAAATTGTAGCACTGACTTAATCCCTGTAAGTCAAGAAAAACTAGACTCAACTGAAGAAATTATCCTCGACTCTCGGACTCAAGTCGTGCAGTTTGTGTGATAAAGAGCGCTCTTTACTATTCAGTTCAGTCAATATTTATCTCTGGTGCCATTTCAGTAAATATCAAGTTCATATAATACCTATAGTCAGATTGAGCAAGATCTACTCTAAGATGTGAGGCAATAGACATCACGGGACCAAATGGTGCTGCTGTATTCTATATTCGTCGTCATATGCTCTCCTAGCCTCGAAATATACGCAATCCAACAGCAACACGCCATTTGCTTTCTTTTGCTGGTACCATGCATGGCATATAAATGTGCAATTCCTTTCATTTTTCGACGAATACGTAACTAGTTCTGGTCTCTACATAACCCACAATAACGCGCGACGTCCTCGTTTAGTCCCCTAAGTCGTTTTCTCCTTCAAACTAAATTTCAGAAAACAACGCATTGACAACAAAAGACGGAAACTTGACGCATTTACTTATAGCTCAGTACCTACTAGCTCATACACTCAGCTTACTAAGCTTGATAGCTCAGTTGGTAGAGCACTGCACCGGTATCGCAGAGGTCATGGGTTCGAATCCCGTTCAGGCCTGAATGTTTTTCAGGCTTTAATTTCACAGCTGCTTAAGTTGCGTGCATAACTGCGATGATCAACCATGTCTTCATATCTTTCTCCGTAGTTCAAATATATGATATTTCGTATATTACTTGCATTCTTCACCGTCTACGGGCATATTAAGATCTCAGAATGTGACCAGCTCCCAGCTGGCTTGATAGCTCAGTTGGTAGAGCACTGCACAAGTATCGCAGAGGTCATGGGTTCGAATTCCGTTCAGGTCTGGATTTTTTTAGGCTTTAATTTCACAACTGCTTAAGTTATGTGTATAACTGCGATGATCAATCTTTTCTTCACATATTTACTTATATTAATTGACCTTCTTGATCAGGCAAAACTATACCTGATCTGTAGAAGAAATGAAGTGATAACAGAGCCGGTATGGATCGGCACTCTAAAGAAATTTAAATACGTACACGAAGACACCTGTCATTGCAGAATCGAAAAACAACCAGGCAGATGACAAAATAATGATGAAATGTAAACTACTGCACTAGTAGCATTTAATGAAATGAATTTAAAGCTCTTTTGGGGGTCATACCAGGAGAACTTGAGTCTTCTCTAATTTATAATGGCTTTTTGTCCATTTTCCGAAAACTTTAGGTCTTTTTTTGGTACTCAAAACGACATTTTGTATTAGTACGAAGATAACGGATTTAAATTTCTCATATCACGAAAAGTTGCGGACTTCGAAACAGCCAATTTGTCGATGAAACGATCCGTAGGGTGCCTCTTGAAATAATTTTCAGGTGAGCTATCTATATCAAACAGTTGGGGATTTCTTCGGTTAAATGCCTGCTCAGTGTTTTCGGATCGACAAAATGCACATTTTAGGTGAAAAAGAATATTAGTACCACTTACGTTGTTCAGAATGGCAGCACCACTAAAAGACTAGTTCTTCCAAGGAGTTTAAAAACCCTGACCCCAATAGCTTGTCCACAGACCCTTCATGTTTTCTCCAGTTCATCGAGGTGCAAGCGAGACATAAAGCGAGCACTGGGGACTGTAAACTAGCCAAAACGAAACGGGGTGGGGCTTGGGAAAGACAAAAATAGAAGTTGCTGGCGCGCTCGAAGGAAAACATTACAACTCGCAGGAAAAGATGAGAAACGTCTGTGAACTGACCAACCCAAATGGAAAGGTGAAACCCTTAGAAATTGATTGCGAAAACCCCCGTAAACGAAGTTGCTTAGTCACAATGTTATTTTTTCCAGTTTTGTTTTGGTTCTCAGTTGTCCAAATATCGCTCGATACTCAGTGATGCGTCAACTGAGTATTTCCCACGCGTTCGCTACTAATCATGTGACTTTTCTTGCGTCAATGAGGAAGGCCCTACAATCCTCCTGCAAACAAGGAGGTTCAGTGGAGCGAATCCCATGAGGGCTATCCTATATTTCCGTCCCTGACCTCTAGCTCTATTCATAATCAGAGATCTAGTTATCTGTTCTGAATATCCGATATCCATGAATTTTCTCGGAATATCCCGTTAATCTTTTACCTAATTAACCCGTATCCCGAAAACTCCCAAGAAGAAGATATGGCTTCTTGTTACATCAGCCTTACAGAAGTTTTGACATTGTGTATTTAACCCTTCTATTGACCCGAGTGGGCACTGTACCAACCAAAACGGCTGCATTTACCTGTTATGCTAGAACGCAAATATACTAGAGAGTCTCGGTTTGGTATTTAGTACGCCAATTAATTGCTTTGTTTGTCAAATTTTCCAAAGCAGGTTAGTCGAACAGCGAAAACTTTGGCATGGAACTAAACCTAGGTCACCCAGCAACGGCGCTTGTGGGATATGAGACTGGGCAGATTTGGCAAGAGCGTCTTATCAAAACAAAGATCCATTAGAAAGTGCCGTAAATAAACTGTTCAGTCATATTCAAAAACTGACCATGATGTAAAGCGCTGTCCTGGTGTAACACAACAGCAACTTCGTGTTGTTCGAATTCCTCACCGGGAGAAAACAAAAATCGATAGCTCAAGAGTATGTAGTATACGGTAGGCTGAACGCGTATTGGCGCGGCCTGCGCAGGTGCAGACTTCCACGCGTTCACTATTTGCAAGTCGAAAACTGAACTGACAAGAGAAATAAAAGACGCCGTCTGCACGCTGGTGGACGCGCTGCAAAGTATTACGCCCGTTCACACTACGCCGGATAAATTTCATAGCCCAGCTTCATTTTCACGGTATGGCCTACATTTCACACTAATCTGTCACGAAAACCGGCGGAGCTTTTCGAAAACGCTTTTCAAAGAGGTCGGCTTTGCGTTTTAGAGTGGACGGAAAACATTTTGAAAACGGAGCTTTTTGAAAACGATGACGTCACAATAATCATGTGATTTTCCCCAAACACAAATCCAAAATGACCGGAGATTGTTGCGTTTCCAAATTTTTCCGGTGTAAATGTGGACGGAAAACATTTGATGCATTTATCAGAGTGAACTCGCCGTTTTTAAATTTCTCCGGCGAAAAGAGGACGGGTCCCTAGGCGCGGAACGACAGTCCGCTGCAATTTTTAAAAGCACCGCATTGCAGATGATATACACAGCATTGCATGATAGAGGGCTACAAGTTCACTAGTTCACTCTCTTTGCTTATTGACCTACTTACTTTAATCGAGTATAGAGTTTTCGCCGATCAAAACTATTGAAAATTCCTGATGGCACTCCTCTTGATAAACATACACGAATTTGAGGTCACTTTCATGAAACAGCTTACATATCTAAAATAAAAGAACCCTGACACTTACGAGCGATTCCAATTTGCGACGAGCCTTTAAAACCACTTTGACTGCTGTATAAGGACAGGCCTGGTGCAAGAGATCACGATGTGCAAAGCAGAGTCTTCTTGTTAACAAGCGTCTGGGATCACTGCAGAAAATACGTACTCCCCTAGTGGACGTTTATGTGTATAAATAGACCATAGCCTGCGTCACAGACAGTCTACACAGACAGACAATAGACGCTATTTTTAGAGCAACACGTCATGGGGATTGACGCCTGCTAGAAACCGGCTCTAAATGGCTTTGAAATCCAAAAAAAGCCAGAAAAATTGCTAGCGCAAAATGAAAAACCGCCCAACATAATGATCAGGCAGCGTGGTCGAGTGATCGGTTCGAGTTCCGCTTTGACCACTACTTGGATTTGTTTCACAGTGGCCCCGAGTTCAAATCTTCGGCCACACTTGTAAATGGCCAACTGGTTTGCCTCCGGCCAGTTGGGATGTTCAATTTGAATTATTTGTTTCAGTTGTTTGCTCGGCCCTACTAGCCTATAAACACTGCCGAGGGTAATTAAAGGTTATATGTTTTTTAATTTTATTTTTATGTTATTAAAACTGCAAATCCACCAAGCTTGATACAGCAGCGATACGTGTACTCTTCCTTTTTTGAGGGTTCACGACATTTTCAGGATATTTTAAAGCGCCCCTCCCCCAAAAAAAGCGATCCAAGAAAATGACCAACACGGTAAAACCAAAAACCCCAACACCCCCCCGCCCCCCTTTTTTTTTGGGGGGGGGGGTTACAGAGGAGAGCGTGATGCATGACATGGCAAAAGTTAGTTCATGACACGTAAGAAAAAAAACAAACAAACAAAACAGAAACCGGACTGGTCAATTTGTGAGTGACTCAGGATCGCAACCATCCTCTTCCCCTTCCATTTGGTATCTTCTTTACATTTCTGAGCCAAAACTGCTGCTGTTTCTCTGTATTATCAAGGACTATATTCATTATCTCAAACCAAAAACTACTCCACCAAGCTTTGAAATCAATAAATAAATTTATTTCCACATATTTTTTAAAGTGTCTTTTGGAAAAAAACAAAAAGAGTATTTACACTTAAGCGACAACTTTCTCCAAGGAAGACCACTTCTTTACTGCTTCTCCGAGCGAGCTTCGGCCCCTCAGGGCTTCGGCCTCGTTCTTCGGGCTTACTTCGGTTTCGCCTCGCTAGCTCACCGAGGTTCCATGACAGCTAAAACCACTCTCGGATGTGCCATTTGCGGAAATGTCTGTCTAAGGTTTACTTCTTAGTTCTTTTATTATTTTCCAAGAAAAATCTCATGAAAACTGGACTTCAACTTTAACTGATATTTCCAAAAGTCGCAATGTACTTCTTTCCATAGCAGACCGTGCACTTCTCTACGTTGCGGAGAAAGCGTCGTCTTTACCTCGTCTGTATACAGTAGGTCAAGTACAAAGGAGCCTGTTGTACTCTGAGATCAAACTTGACTTCCTGACAGTTTCCCACGAACGAGCAGCAAAATGGAACCTTAAGAATTAAAAAAGAAAATCACTGATTAAGGTCTCACGTGAAAATGATTTCTCTTCCTCTCAAAGCGGCACACTTTTTCTGTTAAACAATTAGATTATGAGCTCGAGATTTCTATCGCGTGATAGTTGACGAGGCCCAAGTCAACTATCGCGCGATAGAAATCGAAAGCGAATAATGTAACTGTTTTAGTATAAATCTACTATTCGTTCAAAACTTAATCTAAATCCTCTTCACAGACACTTCGAAAACGCCAAGAAGCGGCCGTCATTTTGTTAACAAGGGCACACTGCTACGTTACTCACTATCTATTACAGAATAGATAGTGAGTAGCGTGGCCAATCAGAGAACGGCATTCGTGATAGAGCGCTAGTAGATTTATACTAATAGTCAATATTCCTAGTTATCACACCGTAAAACTCCGAATCCCGAACGAACTTAAATGGCTTAGCTTGACAGAATCGCATATAACAAAGTGACCTAGTGTGACAGGAATGCTTACAACCTGATGGAGCGTGCGTGCTAGAAGCAGCGTGACATAATCATACAAATTATGGACGGACCGTTTTTTTTTTTTTGAGGGGGACCAATTTCCAAAAAGAAATTCTGCAAAGCAAAAACTCTCCGCCAAAAAAATCGTGTGAGGGGAGCTATATATGAAAAAAAAAAAAAAACACTCGAGCAAGTCCTCTCTACTAACCAGGTTCTGTGTTTGACTTTAAAAAAATTCATCCACAAGCTTTTGCCCACACAAACACGCAAAATAATCTTGCACAACCTTGGGTTGAGAAAAAATTCAAGCCCCGGGTAATTGCCCACCCCACCTCCCTGTAAAAATAATTGTCCGTCCCCAACGTGGTCAGAATCATCACGCGACACTTTGATATACCGAGCGTGAAAGAAATGTCTAAAAACAGCGTGACATAAATTCGTCGCGCGACACTTTGATATACCAAAGACACTTCAAGACAACCTCACCAATTTCTTTCCGTAAGTGAATGGTGAGTAAGGAGATGTCGGTGCACAGAAAAGATCTGCAAATAAAATATTAACATACATATATTAAAAACGACAGAATGTGGAACAAATTTCCAAGTGTCTCTTAAATTTGGCTCGACATAAACAAAACATTTCGCGACAAGAAGAAAAAAACAAAAATGCGGCTAGTGTAAGCAAACTCGACAACCAATTTGTTCAATTCAATTCAATTCAATTCTTCATTTACACCATATAGGGCATTTAGATTTAAAAATAATAGCCCTTTTCACAGTTAATTTTTCTCATTTGCATTACAATGTAATCCAACGTAGATGCGAGGCAATTTCGGGCTAAGACTACAAAATAACCCAAAATTGCCTCACATACAAGCTAGATTTTATTGTAATGCAAATGAGCAAAGGTAACCGTGAAAAGGGCTACTAAGAAATATAAAGACGGTGAGGAAATAATATTTATATGTGAGTGATATCAAAGTAGCAAGAGCTTTCTGGTTGGCCACCGCCATAGTCAATGACAGCAAAAAAGACATACATACACTACATTCATATTTTTACAGCAACAAAATCAAAGAGCAAAGTAAAACATAGCAGGAGCTAAATCAAGTTTGATTTTTCAAAAGGTGGCATTTGTAATCTTGCGTTTTCAATCTGTCTGGTTCAGGGACGGCGCATAAAATGCTATCTATTTCTTAAACAGATCATAAATACAACAGTGATGTGACCTGATTCCGGAGGCTGTGTAAAACCACATCAAAGCTTGGATTTCCTTGATAAGTCGGCGATTTGGTGCATATTCCATTCCCTTGTAAAAAAAAAAAAAAAAGAAAACAGACAGAAACAATTGGACAATTATATAACTAATAAGAAAACTGCTACATTCGAATCATGTTTCCTAACGTTTCACCGTGAGTAATGTATATCAAACTTAAACCGACGTGACCAGAAAACCAAAAGCAAATTCTGTGATTCTAAAAGAAGGTAATCAGAGCTTGAAGTGTCTCATCTCAGGCTCAAATTTCTGCCCTCTGTTCGTCCCTCAACCCATACCACGAGAAAGAAGCATGTCAAAGGGAGGGTTATGGTGACAGTCAGAGTAGTTTTCAGTCAACTGCCAAACTGATTGCGTTCCCTTTCTTCTTCTGCTAAATTCTACAGCTGGTCAAGAAAATCTCTTACCAGGGTTTCCTTGGACCAATCAGAAACGAAACAAAAGGCAATCGTGACCTGGTTGATACCAGCTTTCCCGCGTTNTGCATATATTTAAGCAGCCACCTCCCATTTCCCCGAGGGTGGCCACTTAATGAGGCTTAAATTGACTGTATAAGTTTACAAATCTTGCAGTATAAATAGTGCAACTTAGATCACTGAATCTGGATGACATCAACATAGTGTGCAGGTTCTGGTAAGCCAGATTCAACTACAGTATCACTGTACACCTCTGCAAACCATGTGACAGAGCATACAAAATAATGCAGTGGGCAATGTAACTAGTAGACGTAAAATTTGTAGCCTCATGTCCCATGCAGGACAAAAACGTTTTAGAAGCAATTACCTGAATTTCATTGTAGTTTTCCGGAGAGGTATACTCAGGAGGAATGTTGCGATCATGGTGGATCAGGTGGTCTAACAATGCTGCACTCAAAAGTGGCTGAATTTAAGGAAGAAAAGAACAACTACAAGATAATTTTTTTTATACTCAATGAATTGGAGCTTATTAGGATCCTAGCTTAAATAGCTAATGTGCCGAGTTTAAAACAAAATGTTTATACCACAGATTAAAAAAATAAAATTCAATTTAAGGAAAATAAACAGCAATGTTACATTCAAGTATATGTGGCAGGCATATGTCATCTTGTTTTGAAACTGTTAAGACAGCTCTCAGTAGGAAGTAGAAGAAATGAGAGGAAAAGAAACTTATTTTAAATCAAGACATAAGTTTAACTTAATAGTAAGTGGTTAACCTTCTATTGTTACCCAGCCCTCCCCCTCCCCTGGATAGGTTGCTAGTCCATCACAAGCTACCCCTCTTCGACATTTAGTCATGTCACTCCCACAAACCCCCTACCCCACCCCCTACCCCACCCCCTTCCGGGTTGAACAATCAAAATATCTTGCTCAATAAATAACAAGAACTTGACCAAGGGTTGAGCCCAGACCTCCCTTCATGTGGCGTAGTGTGAATGATAAATGTATGTGGCCATTTCAGGGCAATAGTCCAGAGTGGAAATATTTGGAATGTTGTTAGCCTTATGAAATTGACTCAATGCGGTTTAACTACTGCACCTGAGTATCCAAAAGGATCACTCTCTCTTGTGTTACAGCCAGGTCAATACCAGAAGTCTGATTTATTCCATCCTCCTAAGCATAACACACAATCAATCAATCAACCACCCAACCGACCAACCAACATATCAATCAATCAATCAATCAATCAATCAATCAATCAATCAATCAATCAATCAATCATCAATCAATCAATCAATCAATCAATCAATCAACCAACCCACCAACCAACAAATCAATCACTCAATCAACCAATTTCTTGGGTCAATGTCTTAGTAATTCCTTGAGCAGGCCTTTAATTTATTAGAAAAAAATCCTATGTGCCAGGCTTGACCCAGGGGCAGTTTGGCAAGATCCTGCTACATTTTACCTTCAACTGAATGTGGTACTAGTCTTAATTGACAGACATTTTCTTGCCCTCACCCCAGAGGTGGACATAGATTAGGGTGGGACGTCTGATATTTTAGACTAATAAGGTGTAAACTAACCTGGACTTGTCTTGACTGCACAGGAAATAAGGGAGACCTTAAATATCAACATAAGAGTTAACTTACTCAGGGTGCAAAGAAAACCAATTTTCATGCTTATCCTTTGGGCAAGCTGTAGCTATGGTGCACTAGCCAAAAAGTCATTCTCACTAGCCCCTCAAAATTTCTTGCTTAGTCTTTACTTAAAATCAAATTTCTTGCTTATTTTTTCTTAAATTCTCTTGCCCATCAGGCAAGCAAAGGATAGAATCCAGTACCCTGATTGAAAAATCCCCCAGGTTATCAGACACAACTTTCTTTGCATGCTGTTGAGTGTGATCTCATACATGTTCCACAGGATGATAACAATGAATTAGCAGGAATGCCACAAGATTATTAGAAGTAAGAGTTAAAATAGATTATGGGGAATAGATACATTAAAAACGAAAATCACTTTACTTATTAAATATATTTCAATATTGTTAAGTACCGGTAACTTTTTTAAATAAATATCTAAATACGGCAATGTACAAAAAGACTGCTTACATGATTCTTACCCCAGATTACGACAAAAGCATGTCGTCTTAAAAGCATTTTTTACACTGGCTGTAGTGCTTTTTTTGTGTGAAACCTTGCAACACATTATAAACTCAATATAGAAAAGCATGTATCATAATTCAATGATGCACACAACTCATAGCATCAGCAATGGTAACTTCACTTCGCCAGAGAATTTTTTCTCACACACATTGTCAATAATTGCATATGATACATCTATTTCCATTGGCAATGTTGTAAAACAAATGGATTCATGCTTGTAGTTGTGCATCATCACACTCTGATGCACTTGGGAAGTTTGGAGAGCACTCGAGAAGTTAGAGAACATTGCTCTGAACTATGCCTTGAGCAAATCTTGCACTTCTTTCCAGCTCTCTAAACATCTCACATGCATCACACTGTGATATGCATGATTCTATTGTCCATTTGAAAGTGTTGTACTTGCACATGCTAAGCACCAGCCTGCCAATGTGATGAGCAACAAACCTCGAGTCAGAGAATGGCCCAGCTCCTCCCAAAACAGAGAGAACAGTTGATTTTCCAGCACCTTGGGGCCCAATGATGCCCACCACCAGGAAGTCTGTTTGATCAAGAAGGATCTAAATGTCAAAAGTGAGAGTTAAAAAAGAGTTTCCTAGTATAACTAACAACACAAACAAAAGGCCACAGTTATGGCCATCTTGCAATAATGTATCTTAATGTGGAGAATAAGGACCATCGTTGAAACAGACAAAAATCTTAGTCATGGAATAATGTTTACAGGTGCAAAGCTCATTTATTTATTCAAAAAAAAAAAACATTTTGTGGTATGATTTTCAAGTGTTTTAACAGGTTAACTTCCTTTATGGTCAGCAGATTATCTGTCTGGGTTGTATCTAGACAATTTTGCATACTTCCTTGCCCTCATTTTGTGTCCAAACAACCTACTTTGCCAAATCTACCTAAAACTACTTACAAAATCAGAAAATTGAAAACAAATAAAATTAGTTCATAAATATTGTTACAGTAAACTTGAAGTTAAACACTTGATGTGATATATACCTCTAAAGCAGTGTCATTCCACTGTAGATTTTCATCAAGTAACTTCATCAGTTGCGGAGCTCCATCACGGCTGTGAAGACCAAGTTTGAGGGAGGCCAAGTTTGTAGTTATCCCTTCAACATTTGCACTTGCTCCTGAAGAGAGATTCACTATTGTGATTAAAAGCTTTGAGTTGGGCATGAAACTTTACAGATGCCTTTGTCGCCACAGAATGTATATTATTTTGTTCCAAGAAAACATCATGTAAATTGAAGGAATGCTCTTAGTTAACAGTCCCACCCTTAAATACTTGTAGTTCTCCCAGGGACCATAAGCCACCTTANAACCAAACAATCAATCAATCAATCAATCAATCAATCAATCAATCAATCAATCAATCAATCAATCAATCAATCAATCAATCAACCAACCAACTGACCCACCAACCAACAAATCAGTTAATCAATCAATCAATCAACCAATTTCTTGGGTCAATGTCTTAGTAATTCCTTGAGCAGACCTGTAGCAGGATGCAAATGTCAAGGGGGAGGAGCTAAACAAGGTGTGTATGTACACCCCATTTCAGCTTTCTCCCTCCTTTTGGTCCTAGATTTTCTCTAAAATATCTTGTGTTCTTTATCAAACTTTCAATTGGTGCTGACTTTGAGATTAGACTCTCCTTGTCTGGGACAAGACGGTCTTTATGGTCACATAAGGACTTGATTATCAGTAATTAATTATCATGCCCACAGAACTGTGATTAGGAAACCTTTCATTCTATTTTTAATTCAAAGGACAAATTTACATTATAAAGTTTGTCATCAAAAATATAATCGAGTTAGAACTTCCAAGATTAAAAACTGTGCCTTTAATTTATTAAAAAAAATCCTGTAAGCCAGGCTTGACCCAGGGGCAGTTTGGCAAGATCCTGCTACATTTTACCTTCACCTGAATGTGGTACTAGTCTTAATTGACAGACGTCTTCTTGCCCTCATCACAGAGGTGGACATAGATTAGGGTGGGACATCTGATATTTTAGACTAATAAGGTGTAAACTAACCTGGACTTGTCTTGACTGCACAGGAAATAAGGGAGACCTTAAATATCAAGAGAAGAGTTTACTTTGTGAGCTTGAATCAGGGTGCAAAGAAAGCAAATTCCATGCTTGTCCTTTGGGCAACCTGTAACTATGAGGTACTAGCCAAAAAGTTATTCTCACTAGCCCCCAAATATTTCTTGCTTAGTCTTTACTTAAAATTAAGTTTCTTGCTTATTTTTTTTCTTTAACTGCCTTGCCCATCAGGCAGGCAAAGGATAGAATTCAGTACCCTGATTGAAAAATCCCCAGGTTATCAGACACAACTTTCTTTGCATGCTACTGAATGTCATCTCACTCATGTTCCACAGGATGATAACAATGTAATTAGTGGGAACACCACAACAGTCCTTTGGAAGTAAGAATTAAAATAGATTATGGGAAAAAGCTTAGTTCCTTGCCCCTGAGTGGGGGATAGGGCCAGATGGGAAAAAGAGACAAATGAAAATCATTTTAATTTAATATTATTAATTAAAATCTTGTAATAAATATCTATTTAAAATTATGGTAATGTACAAAAAGAGACTGCTTGTGATGAACAACAAACCTCGAGTCAGAGAATGGCCCAGCTCCTCCCAAAGCAGAGAGAACAGTTGATTTTCCAGCACCTTGTGGCCCAATGATGCCCACCACCAGGAAGTCTGTTTGATCAAGAAGGATCTAAATGTCAAAAGTGAGAGTTAAAAAAGAGTTACCTAGTATAATTACCAACACAAATGCATGGCTACAGTTATGGCCATCTTGTAATAATGCATCTTAACGTGGAGAATAAAGACTGTCGTTGGAACAGACAAAAATCTTAGTGATGGAATGAGCTTACAAGTGCAAAGCTCATTTATTTACAAAAAATAAAATATTTTGTGGTATGATTTTGAAGTGTTTTAACATGTTAACTTCCTTTATGGTCAGCTGATTATCTGTCTTGGTTGTATCTAGACAATTTTGCATATTTCCTTGCCCTCATTTTGTGTCCAAACAACTTACTTTGCCAAATCTACCTAAAACTACTTATAAAATTAGTTAATAAATATTGTCACAGTATATTTTAAACTTGATTTTAAACATTTGATATGATATATACCTCTAAAGCAGTGTCATTCCACTGTAGATTTTCATCAAGTAATTTCATCAGTTGCGGAGTTCCATCACGGCTATGAAGACCAAGTTTGAGGGAGGCCAAGTTTGTAGTTATCCCTTCAACATTTGCACTTGCTCCTGAAGAGAGATTCACTATTGTGATTAAAAGCTTTGAGTTGGGCATGAAACTTTACAGATGCCTTTATCGCCCCAGAATGTACATTATTTTGTTCCAAGAAAACATCATGTAAATTGAAGGAATGCCTTTAATTAACAGCCCCACCCTTACTTGTAGTTCTCCCAGGGACCATAAGCCACCTTAGGCAGCAAGTCCTCTCTGATAATTTTTACCTCAANTTACAGGTGCAAAGCTCATTTATTTATTCAAAAAAAAAAAACATTTTGTGGTATGATTTTCAAGTGTTTTAACAGGTTAACTTCCTTTATGGTCAGCAGATTATCTGTCTGGGTTGTATCTAGACAATTTTGCATACTTCCTTGCCCTCATTTTGTGTCCAAACAACCTACTTTGCCAAATCTACCTAAAACTACTTACAAAATCAGAAAATTGAAAACAAATAAAATTAGTTCATAAATATTGTTACAGTAAACTTGAAGTTAAACACTTGATGTGATATATACCTCTAAAGCAGTGTCATTCCACTGTAGATTTTCATCAAGTAACTTCATCAGTTGCGGAGCTCCATCACGGCTGTGAAGACCAAGTTTGAGGGAGGCCAAGTTTGTAGTTATCCCTTCAACATTTGCACTTGCTCCTGAAGAGAGATTCACTATTGTGATTAAAAGTTTTGAGTTGGGCATGAAACTTTACAGATGCCTTTGTCGCCACAGAATGTATATTATTTTGTTCCAAGAAAACATCATGTAAATTGAAGGAATGCTCTTAGTTAACAGTCCCACCCTTAAATACTTGTAGTTCTCCCAGGGACCATAAGCCACCTTAGGCAGCAAGTCCTCTCTGATAATTTTTACCTCAATGACAACAACCTGTAATAATGTTGAAAAGCCCTCCAAGAAGAAAAGTTTAATGAATGATTTTAATTCACCTGTGACTGTGCTTGCCGCTGCCCCACCCATACCATGAGGTTGTGTAGCACCTGCAGATCTATCAGTTGCTTGGCCTGCTGGGTGATCTGATAAAATTGTTTTGCCACGAGCTACAGCTTGCTGAGGAACACTGGGTCTGGCCACGCCCTCTGGTAAAGTTTCCCTTTCAAAGTATAAAATCTTTAGTTCCCAAGGTGATCAAATTCAAATTTTGACCTAGAGTATCATACATTGCTAAACAGATGACATGTATGGAGTCCCACCCTATGCTATATGTTAAATATTAAATAGACATCTGCATCTTTGCAATTTTTCATGTCCTGCAAGCAAGACATAAACCTCACAACTGCTATATAGCTACACAGATGATGTGGCTCAAGATTGTGTACCTGACTGAGGTAAATTATTTTAATTTTTTAAAAATATGTGTTATAACATTTGGTCTCAAGTAGCCAATCCTAAGACATTGCATAAATCTCTATAGAGCAACGTCATTGACAAAGAATTTTTCATTTAAATAATAAATAATCTCTACTGCCCTCTTGCAAGGAATGCAAGTACATAAAAAAACTATCTATTCACATACTAGGCTGCATGGTATATTATAAATTACCAAGCACAGGTGTTTGTAACATAAACAGAGCATTAATTATTTTTTTCAGAAACATTATAATTTGAAAGAGATCCATACTAATATTGGAGTAAATTGATTTCAAGAATGATTTCTTCAGTTGGCTTGTGCACATACTTTTTAAAAATTGGACACTATTAGTTAATAAGTAAATGCCTCTAAAATACAGTGGAACCTCAGGTTGCAACCACCTCTCATCAGTGACCAGTTTTCCAAAATACCAAAATTTTCCGTGTCAAATCTCAATATTTGTCACCTTTTGTAAGTGACCACGACCACTTTCAGAGCTAAAAGCTTGAAATTTTCTGTAGTTTCTAACCTCCTGTAAATGACCGCTTGACAGATAACAGAGCGGAAATTTTATAGTAAGCTAAGGTGTTGTAACATTATCGCATTCCTGGATAGTAAAAGAGACAGAAATTTCTCCATGGGCAGTAACATAGTTTTTCACATGACTTTTCACATGGATAAAACATTTAAAACATGGGGTAAGTCTCTGCAGTTACCTTATACTAATGAGGAAAAATTTTGACCCAATATGGTCTAAGCTCTTGTAAGTGACCACCTCCTGTAGGTGACCATCTAGGCTTGACATTTTGGGAGGTCGCTTACGGGAGGTTCGACTGTATATGCATTACCTTGGTTTTATCAGGATTTGCTTCACAGGAGTTTCTTGTCCCTACATGACAAGCAAAATGTATAGATGAGGCATTTTAGCATGGTATTGCCACAGCCTGTAACCACTAACAGGAGTAACATTGTAAGGTATTTAGAATAGTGACAAGTGAGACTGGTAATATTTAAACTGTTTAAATGTGTATTTCAATATGTTTCACGAGCTTGGTCCTCAGTTGATTTTGTTTCGGATCCTAGCATGTACATTCTGTAAGTGAGGATGATACTCAATACCACCTTGTAAGAGTGTTTGATTATCTGCAAATACACCTATCCTTAAATTATTATCTACATTTCTTTGTGTGATTCTTGAGAAGCACATGCAACAGCAGTGAGGAATCTGAACTAGCTATTTTGCAATTTGTAAGGTAAATCCTGCATACAAGCCAAGTGGCTCATCAGGCCAGAGCTTATCCCGGTTTCAGAAGCATGAAGCAACTAGGAGTATTTCTACTCTGCCCTGAATGGGATGCTAGTCCATTGCAGGGTTATCCCCTCAGTATTTAATTCACTAGTACTCATTTGTACATCTGGGTGGAGAGAGGCACTGCGAGAGTTAAGTGTCTTAAACAAGAACACAACACAATGTCCTTGGCCAGGGCTCAAACCCGGACTGCTCTCTGCCAGACCACTCTCTCCAGATCATTTATTGTGTGGCATCATCAGGGGTTTTAGTAACATCTTCAGCAGGAGGTCAACTGGTTTTCACAGGTGGGCAAAACGACTTGAACTGGACCTCTTTCTATGAAAAACTTTCCTGTAGATGATCAAACCAGGCAGGCAAATCATCCTCTGTGTCAGTTAATTTGCCTGGTGGCTGGCTTCTAATGAAACCCCTGCATCATTCAGTGTTTTTTTTATATCAAATCCCCTCAATAAGTTATAAATTTTTCTAGGTGTTGATAACATCTTGTGAACATCTTAACAACAACGTACATGATGCGTATGATAGACTTGTTTATCATGATTAAATACAATGTGCAGTTCTAGAAAATATCCATACTTCCCCCACAGAAGGGATTCAAATTTCCTGGGGGGTGGGGGATTCTCAAAGACCAAAAAGTTTAAAGAAATGTATGAAGCTTAACTTGAATTTCCAGAGGGGTGGGGAGGTGTTAGAAAAAATCCCTTCCATGGGGGAGGTATGGGTATTTTCTGGAACTACACAATAGGTGGAAATGCTAGCCAAGCCCATAAGATGTATATGTACTGCAACAACCGCAAGTAACTGGCATATTGCAATAGCTATTGAGCAAGTAACAGCAAAGCGTATTCAGCGACTGTAATTTTTTTTTCAATTCGCACATAGGTCATTGTAATAAAGACAAGGAAACCCCCAACAAGTTGCTGTGTATTTAAAAGTTGCTAAGTCCGGCAATATAAGCCTGTTACACATCTTGGATCAACTGTTAGATCATAGGGCACAGCTCCGTGATTAAGGGGGAAATGCTTTGAATGCTCACCCTGTCGGCAGAAGATTTGGTGAGTATAATGGGTGTCTTCATGGGTGAGGCTGAGGCTGCCGCTGGGTGGGCTCCTGTGGGACCTTCACCTTTACCCTGAAGAAAATAAATTTAAACAGATTTACTTCAGGCTGAACAATCCCAGACAAAAACGTTGGCACACAAAGCAAGTTCTCCCCTCCCCCCACCCCTCCTTACAATCTCGATAATCAGGTGACCTTTTTCCCTTTTTGTTGAAAAAAACGCGACATTTTCCAACATTGATTAGATAGGTGATCCAGCTCAACTCAGTTTTCAAAATTTGTTTGTGGAAATTTTATAAGCTTACTCATTATGTTACTAATTACTTTTAAAAATTAAAACATTTCTTCTCCTCAAAGGTACTTTTGTTAGAAATATAACAAATAGACCTTGATGTGATGTATTTTTATTACGATTTTTAATTCATTGGTTAAGTTTTAACCAAAGATGTGGTACGAACTTACTTGTGCTTGTTTCAATAATTGAAACACAAATACTGAAAGCCATACGTTTATATAGAGGGTAATGAGTAATCAGTGGAACTACAATAAAAATTACAAGCACATTATGCAGTCAGTAATTCTTACCCTTGCAGGCCGTTCTCGGAAGCCTCTTTCCCTTCTGCGACCGCCTCTGCCACGACGAAATCCCCTGTCTTGGTCCTCCATCTTGCATTCAAATGGTACCTCATGTAAGGACAAACAAAATGACCTTTAACCAGCTGCATGATGGGAATGCTCCGTTTCTATCACGTCAGTTTCCTGTGAGAACGATCGATCAAAGAAGAAATTTTGGCGATGGACTTGAGAAAGGTTTCAGATGAGGATAAAGTCAACTTGTGTAGAAAATATACCATTCACATACTCCTTTTTTATTCTTATTTAGGTTATGTGTATTTATTTGTATTTGTATTTGCTTGTTTTTAATATCACTTTTGGACATCTTCGATAGCTGTGTTTGTAGTTTTGTCTTCAGCTTTTAGTTGTCTATCGTTTTATTGTAGTTGAGTATTGTTTGTCGGCTAGTTCTACAGAACAGAAAAATCCTGAAACTGTTCTCAGTGGGGTGTACATGAGGATCTATTAAACTAGAGCAGAGAAGCATAAAATGTCATTTCACTCAACAATTGATTCGAATGACCTGTTATTTGCTTTGTGCTGTTTTGTTCTTTTTCCTTGATTCCCATCAACACATTTCTTAGGAGGCTTTGCGTTGTTGCCATTTCTTTGGTTTGTCAATGTAGTGTGGTTCTTCAGAGAGGCGTTTATCAGACCAGCTTTTACAGGACAACCAAAGCTAAAATCATGTAAGTATACAAGGTTCCTATTTGAATATACGATTAAAAGACCAGTAGGTTTTACTTAGCACTCACACATTTCCTGTTTTTTTTTTTTTTTTTCCTTTACTCTACCGTCCAAGCCTTTGCATGACTCCCTAGCTTTTCGTTTCGTGTGTGCTTGGGATTAAGGAAATGACTGTTAACAGACTACAACACAATATTATGAGGGCTTCTGTTAGATCTTTACTCTCTTTGATGTTTTTGAAACTTTAGTTTTCTTTCTTACAGATGTGATAAAATCTGGAATAGGATTCTTAGTGTGGTTTGCTGGTTTGACTGCATGGATTCTTGTATATCAGAAGTATCGAGCAAGCTGGGGTGAAATTGGAGACAGAATATCATTTGTTATACCACTGGGAGAGCCATGAATCAGTTCAGTCTTGTTATGTTAGTGCAATTGCTAAATCTTTGTCACAAAAACTAAGCTAGATCAATAATAGCTATGACTTTTCATCTTATTGGTGTATGTTTTTGTCAGGACACTCTTGTAATATGTGTATTGTAAATATTGCATGCTGTTTTTGTTGGAGAAGTTTTATATTAAAAAAAAATTGGAAACAGCACTTGCTGTTCTTCTTGTATGTGTTTACAAGTCTGTGCAGCTCAGTCAAATCAGAGATTTTAGCTACATTAGCTTAAATGATTTCCCAAAAATGAAAAAAATATTCGCCAGACGTGCGAGTAATAGATAATTTGTACGCACCTGACACTTTTGACACTTGCATTAGCCAGCAGGCGAGCGCTAATTTGCAACACTGAGTCAGTGGTGTTCCTGGTTTGTTGCCTATTGGGTTATGAGCATGAAAAGTTACTTGCCCAGTAAGTAAGAAAATTTGTTTGTCCCAGACAACCGAACAAGACCATTTTCAATCCCTGGTTGACCCACAATAGCTTAGTCTGAGAGGTGTACAATACTACAGAAAAACTAACAATACCATGAAGAGACACTTCTGCCACCTAAGGTAGCCAATGCTCAAGGACAAACTGATACAGTGCAGTTCAGGGAGGGGGGGACACTCCCAGAAGAATTTGGTGGGGGTGTGCCGCCCGCTTCCCAAAACCCATACCCTATTACTCTTACGCTATGAGCAAAATCTGTGATTTTCCCAACCCTATTTATGACCTGACCAAATATTCAAAACCCTAAAAATTCATGACCATTGCAGCTGGCACAGTTGCCCTAAACATAATTTATGAAAGGCTTTTACTGATGGTCTTCTTGATGATGATGAAGAGGAAGCTTCTTCTAAAAAAGCATACCCAATTCAAGACTAGAATGCAACGACCAATTACCCTATTTATGAACAAAATGGTTAAAAAACTGTACCCTTTGGGGCCGCACATGCCTGTATGGCTCATATAAGGGAGTACCTGCTCGCCTGGGAGTACAGTCAACCCTCCCATAACAGAAATCTATACATGATATGGTCTATGGACATCTCCCCTAAGGTTTTGCCAAAAGACTGATGTTTAGCCAATATGGAGTTTACATCTCTGAATGCCGTCACAAGGACAAATTTTACAAAACATGTCTTCCCTTGATCACTCGGGCGAAGGGGGGGGGGGNACTATATAGGTATGTGCGGCCCCAATGGGTATTCCATTTTAGCCATTTTGGTCATAAGTAGGGCATGGTTTTTAAACTCTAGTCCTGAACTGAGTGTGTTTTTCAGAAGAAGCTACTTTTTCACGTTATAAATAGTGTGTCTGATCTGGGATTGAAGTTGCAGATTTTGGTCCTAGATAAAGTAAGGGTTTTGCAAAGCAGGCCACACAACCACCCAATTTTTCTAGGAGTTTCCCCCCTCCCGGACCTTGGCCGCCCTTATGCCAAATTGCTGTGTCAGGTTCGCAAGGTATTGTGGTAAAATGTAAAGCGGCCATCCCTTTTTTTTCATTGCGCGCTAAGTAGTCTGGGTAATTGAAGCAGCATGGCGGAGTATTTGGCGTCCATTTTTGGAACAGAAAAGGACAAGTAAGTGTATTTTGAGCGATTCTTAGTGGATTTAAAAGTTTTTTATTTAACGAAGTACATTTTCTGAAGACAGTGTTTCAACTAGTGTGTGAAGATTGTGTGAATGCTCCCAAATATAGGCGAAAAAAGCGTTCTGAAATGCCAATTTCGACACGAATTTACTACAAGCCCGCAAAGATTTCAAATAAAACCTGCTCTGTTTTAGTCTCAGTCAGTGTTTAAGAATACTAGAAAGGGCTAAATCAACGGTATATTTTGCTAACGAGAAAAGTCTTAAGCCTAAACTATAAACTAAACATAAAACGTACGAACTCTCGAACTGCATGCTGAAGCTTTCATGTCCAGTGTATCATTGCCTCATGATGACTGACGTGATCTTCTACTTTATTTCAATGTTATCTTTCATGCCAGTGGCCATGAGACAATACATGTAAAGCTCAAATACAAAAAATATAAAAATATAGATTAAAATGACAAACGGATGTGCTTTACTGGACTGAATGTCATCTCACTCACAAGGACTGTCTCTAAACTTCTTGTTAGGTGGTTCCATTGAGCTAGAGTCAGTTTTGAAAGTCAATAGAAATGAGCCAAAAACTGACTTAACAGACAGAACGTAAACTTTAATTTCCTATCATTTTATGACTGTTTTTCTTGTGTGCATTACACATAAATGTGCTAAAATTAACTGGTTTTCACATGACACGACATGTCTAAAGTTGTTTATTGTAGTGTATTTCATGTGCACGCTTTCCATGTGTGCGTGTACAGTTTTTTGCATGGTATGGCTTGCCCATTTCAACATACTAAAGAAGGGCTAAGCCAAAAGCATCTATTTCACATTAACTATTTGACACTTAAAATAACCTTTTCAGCCTTCAATTAAGTTTTGAAATTGTTAGGGTCAGCTGTTTGTTAATTTGCATTTGATTACTGTCTGTCTTGCAGAGTAAATTGCTCTTTCTACTTTAAAATTGGTGCTTGTCGCCATGGGGAACGCTGTTCACGACTTCACAACAAGCCCACCTTTAGTCAGGTTAGTAGCAGTGTCTTTTGTTAGCCATCTGTTTGAAACTCTGTTGGAAAGGATTTTAATAAAGCTTGCAGTTGGGTTGTGAAGCAGACAACTGGCATTCATTTCACTTTGTACACCCACTCAACTTCATCTTGTTTTATTTTCGAATGAGAATTAACAGTTTCTCAGATGAGATACCTTTGTGTTAGGAAATAGCAACCAACCATTCACCAAACAAACTTGAAAACTATAGATTGAGATTGGTTATCCAGAAAATGTTCTGAAAGTTTGATAATGGCGAGTGAAAGTTTTGATCAATGTATCAGACTTTGTCTTATATGGCAAGATTACAACATGGCTATTGCTTCATGTAGATCAAACCTATAATTTGCGTATGAACCGACATATGATTGTTATGCACGACATGAAAAATGTTGTGCAGTAGGAAACCCTATGAGAATGCCAGAAGCGAGCAATTTTTTGTGTGTGCATTAAATTATATGCTGCCTAACCCACACTAGCATTTACCAATCCTGACTAGTAACAAATCCCTCCCTGGCTGTTACTGCCTACTACTTCTGTTATCCTGCCTGCCTCTACAAAGGAATTTACTTGGCTGTATGTACATGTATTTGGTTTGAGTTTTGATTAGTTCTCTGGATTATTGGTTGACTTGCCTCACCTTGATTCATGTTCTCACTTTCTTTTCTTGATGCACCAAAGTTTTTCTTTTTCATCTACTTGCATGACCATTTGAATTCAAGAGGAAGCAATTTCAAAGTTCAAAACCAGCAAAGAGTGCTGTTAGATACTAACTGGAAGTCAACTTCTCTTAAACCAAGTTTTTCTAACTGGCCCACTGACTCACTAATCCAACCTTGAACAGCCCAGTTTTCCTGTGGCAGGGCTCAAAAAAAAAAGTGCCGTCCGGTTGTCCGGGACAGGTAGACTTTCCTGCCAGGAAAGTTACTTTTCACTCTCACTTGCCCAATGGGCAAGTTGTTTGCCAACTAAATAAAACAAAAGTAAACTTAGAATTGACCAGGACAAGTAGAGGTTCTTCAAGTGTTTTCTTTTTAGCCCTGCTGTGGGTTCACCAAACCTATGGTTAAGATATTACAGTAACCTCTGAGTTAACTCTAACTCGAAGTTAATTTAATCCTGGCTTGGTGTATTAATGAGCATTATTGTCAAAGTATCCATTTATGAAGGTGTTTTTCATACTAACATCCAATCATATTGTTTTCCTCATTTTACAGACCATTTTACTTCAAAACATGTATCAAAATCCACAGAGTGCTGCACAGGTTGCAGATGGGACAAGTAAGTCTTGAGTGTATTAATTGCGTGTGTAAATTATAATTTGTCTTCTGTGTACAGCACCACTTAACAAGCTGCTTTTCACTGGTGACAGAGTTGCAGCTGGAGTCGTTAGAACACTTATGACGTAGTAAAAATCTAAAATCAGAGTTGTAAGTGGAGTCATAAGCTTGACCTAATCAGAGTCAAAAGAATCCAAAATTTATCGTTTTGCTTCTTTGTATTCCACAGGTAGTGCCATTTCTGATGTAGAAGCTCAGGAGCATTATGACAGATTCTTTGAGGTGTGCATTTTTTCCAAAAATTGAAAATATAAAGTGTGAATTCTTCTTGTAGATTGCCATGTGTTTCTTTCATTTTTGCTTCTAAAGACATGTTGGCACAGGAAATAAATTTGTTGTTTTCAACAGTGAATTTTTTGTGAATGATTTGATGATATCTTTAATGTATTTCTTATATAGGATGTTTTCCTGGAGCTTGAAGAGAAGGTAAATTGATCTATTTACCATTAAACAAATTTTATAAGTCTTAACAAGAACCCCTTACATATCTGTGTTGCAGACAGCACCTTAATCCAATGTGTAATGATTTACATCAAGACCTGATTGTAACAATGTAACGCAAATCCTCAGTGACAATTTGTGAGTGAAATTCTGCCTGTTTTGTATTTTCTTGCCCTCTTAGCAGTCCACAGAATGTTGGTTTTTGTTCTGTGTTCTGAATTATATCCAGAGATCATACTATGATTACATGTACCAGTTGAGTAAGGTGTGACAAAAGTGTGGTGACCAGGTTCCAGTGGCAACTTGTCAGCCTTTGATGTAATCGGCAGCAAAGCGTGGGAAATTGCAGGCAATGATATTATTACCATTGGAAATGAGGAAAGTTGCCCGTGACAACACCATAATTGCAAGTCTAAAACTTGGTCATGAAAGCTCTGGCGAGGCTTGCTCAACTGATAATCCTAGTCATTGACAGAACAAAGTCCTGTGGAAGCTCGATCACCCAAGAACTCTCTTTGTGCCATCTCATTACTATAAATGTGTCAGTGAGTGTAGTCATAGAAACTGTGGTGTTAATATTTAAATGCTTCTTTGTGTATTCTAATGCCAATTTCTACAGTATGGAGAAATCGAGGAAATGAATGTGTGTGACAACCTTGGAGATCACCTTGTTGGTAATGTGTATGTCAAGTTCCGCTATGAAGAAGATGCTGAGAAAGCTGTTAAAGACCTGGACAACCGCTGGTACAATGGTAAAGTATAATATAACCTTGTATTAAGTTTAAGTACACATCCCACCCTGAGAGGACTGGTGTTACAGAGTAGTACGATCGAACAATTTGTTTATCTTGTTCAATAGTTTTCCTGTTTTTTAACTTACAGGGCAACCAATCTATGCAGAGCTATCACCAGTGACTGATTTCAGGTAAACTTCAATTACATGTAATTTTGGTTGGGTTACATATAGGACTTTACATTTTCCAGGTCATACTCTTCTTGTTTTGTTTATGAGATGAAAGTAAATGATAGTATACATGCATACATGTAGTCCTGCAGTATAACCTTATGAATCTTTCAAACCGTGTAATCTGTAAATGTGTTTTTTGTGATTTCAATGTTCTTCTCATTGTTTTCTAGGGAAGCGTGTTGCCGACAGTATGAAATGGGGTACGTTGAGAATATTTTATTTATACCATAACGACTAATGGCGTGGTCCCCTTTCTTGTTATGGTTAATGTGACCAAATGTTTATTATGACGTGTTGTTTTCTCCTAGATACAATTTGATCAGCCGTTTAGTTCTGCCAAAAACGTTTGCTCTTCTTGACAACTGTAGTACCATGCTAACCATGCTTGTATTGCTTAGAACTTCTCAGAAAATTTGCTAATTTTCTTTAATTTGTTTTCCCCCATTCTTGCCATACAATATTTACAAAAATATCACTTTTTTATGTCAAGTTATTGATACAAACCTTTCACATGGTTAACACAAATGTAACGAAGAAAAGCAAACAAACTTGTGTGATCTACCCTTTTAACAATGTTGTAAAATGTGATATCATTGTGATTGTAGCAGTAATGTTATTAATTTTATTGAGTTAGAGAGTTTAACCATAACCCTTGAGTGAGTAGGTAGTGTCTGACTCTCTGATCCCCTCTGTTATGCAGTGAATGCACACGTGGAGGGTTTTGTAACTTCATGCATCTGAGACCGATCTCACGGGACAGCCGGTAAGCGCGACTCTGTCACTCAGCTTAATCCATTTGAAACCTAGTCTTCTTGTATGTTCCTAGAGAGTGTTCTCGCGGTGGGTTTTGTAACTTCATGCACATGCGGCCAATTTCAAGAGAATTGCGGTGAGTTGTAAGGTTTGATGCAAGGGTCAGGGAGCAGAGGAGGGGTTGTCGGTCAAGTAGGGGATGTTGTCTTGATCTAACACCAAATTCTTATGTATAAACGTTATAAAAAGCAAGTAAATCTCTAAGGAGAATTTCCTTGCTTTTTATAACATTTTGACCTTAGTGCTGATAGGGTTAGACACCAATATGGAGCTTGGGCAGACAATATTTCGGAAAAAGCTGTTTTAAAAGATGTTAATTTTAAAAGTTTTGAAAAATGTTACATGGCTTCTGACTCACTTATACAAAGCCATAGGATCAGCTTTGTTCAGAAGAATTTGAAAATGTTATTTTCAAAAGAATTATATTCACCAAGTTGAGCATTAACTTGAGTGACAATTTGTATCACAAGAACTGTTTCATCATATCTGAAAAATTCCTTCTGTTACAGACGAGAGCTGTATGGACGTAACCGACGCAAGAGAAGGTATGAGTTATTTTCACTGCTATTGTAGTCATTGCTACCATTTCATACTTAGGACGCTAAAATTCTGATGACGTTACCCTGAGATCACAGTTGTCTGGTTCTTCACACACTCAATTCTTGCCCAACTCAAGGGTCAAAGATTTACCCTGAAGAATTCTACAAGAATGGAAACTGTGATAAAGGTTTTTTTTTTTTGGTAAGAGAGGAATGTTTGATCAGGGGTTAATATAGGGTGCATTTCTTTGGGGTGCCTGATCAGGATCAGCGATCAAAGATAATGGGCATCGTGGTACATCAAAGGAACCAATGAATCTTTGCCCAGGGTGCAATCATTGGTTCCTTTGATGTACCATGACCTGAGTGATCTTGGATCCCTGATCCTGATCCAGATCATTCCAAAGGAACACACCCATAGCCTCCTTTGCAGATGCCCTTTTGGTTCGTCACGCATTCCTCCCTTTACATGAAATGTGTGGTGAACCTAAATAATGTCTATGTAGGAAACTAAGGTTAATATGAAAGATATTGTACCCTGAAGCTTGACAGAGGTTGTTGGTTGGTTTTGAATCTTTGCGTGCCAGTAACAGCAAATCCAAGCCCAACTTTACCATCCGTATTATATTTTTCTGGTTGAATCTTTGTCATCTCTTGACCAGCCAAGGATTTAGCAAAGAGGAACACAACAATATATTGTTAAAATGTACTTAATTTAAGCTGAACCCAGTGAGGGTTACCATAATGTGGGAAAATAATTGGTGCTCTATAACCTGTTCACGGTCTCTAATCGATGAGTACTTATGCACAAACTTGGTTGTCGTGAAAATTTGGTTTATCCCTCAGCATGTCCAAAAATTTCTATTCATTTCAGAGGTGCTGGTGCTGGTGCAGCCGGCGCTAAAGAAACATCACCACGGTTTGTACACAAACGGCCCTGAAAATTTGTTATGTGAAACACAGTGTTCTGCAATTATCCCACCCTTCCAAAATGAGACAAATATTCAATTGGACAGTTTTTCTAAACAAAAGCATTAAATTCAAAGCGATTTCATTGAATGAAACAGAATGCCTCTTCTAAACACTGCTTTTCAAATAATAAAGAGATAAATACAATAAATTAATATGTTTTTCTCAGGTATGTGAGTGCAGAAATCTGAAAATTTGTCCTTAGTTGCAAATTTTGTACTCTTAGGATGTGCTCTTTTAAGGAAAATAGTAGCAGCTGATTTCAATTTTTTGTATAGGAATGAGCCCATGGACTTGCTTGCAATAATGTAACTACTGCATTTCAAAATCACTGCAGTTTGTCTGAGTATGTTCAGACAGTTTTATTTCCATTTGGCAACTTAGCAGATAACATTCATATTTGCCCCTATGATTTTTTTTCTGGCATGGATTGAGAGCCCAACACTTTTCAAGATTCAAGGAAATAACCAATGAAATAACCACACGAGTATGGAGGCTTTTCTCCAGAGTTAACAATACAATTTTATTTTAATAATTTTATTTTCCAGCAACATCTTACAAAGTTAAAGATTTTCTTTTTCATCATTATAAAACAATTCCTTCCAGATCAAAACAGAATGTGACAGTAGTATCTCTAGCCATTTGAAAGTTGGTACAATCTTTGCTTTCAATCTTTTCTGGTGTTCTTGATGTAAAATTTCAGGCGGGGAGGTTTTTCCTCCAACTGGACCGGACGTAACAGCACAGGACAAGGTTCCCCAGCAAACCAAACACTGTCAGACATTTTCTCTAACTTGTAACTTATTTTCAAAGTTTTATCTTCTTTGACATGACCAGACTCACAGCTAAAAAAGACAAAGTTCTAAAGCGCTAACACTAACATTACCCACAGGATGTTCAATATCATTGTAACGTTAACGTAAACCCTGTTTCCTTGGTCTGGATTTGGTATTTTTGCGTTTAGACTTCCAACATTTCTTTTGCAAGATAATCTCCTTTCAAAAGTCATTTACTGTGACTCCTTATAAAGTAACCTTGTTGTGAAGTGGGCAGTTGTTGTTATGTCTTTGGCACAGCTCAAAATTGTGGAAGCAAAGTGTCTTGAGACTCGGATAAAACACGCGCCAGACGTTATTATTTCAACTCCGAAAAGAGTATCTAAATCCTTCAAATCGGTTTCTGTTGTTTTTGACTTATATGAATAAGTATTGAACTGCAGAAGTTGTAAACTTTATTGCTGTTGTATTTTCGTTTCCAGGTCTCGCTCAGTTTCTCCTCCGTACACCCGCCGTTCACGATCCAGGTCTCCACCACCGCCTCCCCGCCGTCGTTCCCGTTCCCCTCCCCGCCGAGATAGATCGCGCTCACCACCACGACGAGACAGATCCCCACGTGACCGAGACAGACGAGGTCGTCACTAAGAGGGGATCCTCTGTATCGCTATTATTGCTCTGTACTGTATAAGATATTGTAACTCTACTTTCAGTTCTGAGATCAGTTTATTTGCGTTGTTTGAAGAACCGACTTGGAAAACTTCCGACAACCTCTAACGTCCTGAAAACTTCGGGTTTTCTTGTCAGACTTAGTGGTAAGAAGTGACTACCGTTCAAGACATTCTTGCAGTCTCACGCGAAGAGTTCCCGACCCGTTATGCCCAATAGGAACAAACCTGAGCTGTTCTTTTCTCTCATGTATGTTAGGCCTGGTTCAAACGTCGAACTTTACATGTGCCGAACCTAATACCAATTTGGGTCGACCTAAATAATTAAGTTCGGCAGTTGATTCAAACGTCGAACCTAATTTAATCGAACTTAATTGCAAAAATAAAAGAGACGCTATTGCAAACGACGGTTATTGCTGACCAAAATGGCGGGAAAATGTGGGAAAGACTAATTGTGAAAATGAAGAGCTTGCTTTTCTTGCAAGTGCGATGAAGGAGGGTAGAACTATTCGAAGAAGGCGACCGAGATGCAATCAGCATTAAACAACCGAAGACGATTTTTGAATTTGGTTTGCCTGATATTATCGCTTATTCCCAAAGGAACATCGTAATTCCTCGTCCAGTTCGTTCCTGTCGTCGGTTTCTTCAAGATTCATTTATTTTGTCATTTTCTCTCTTAAACATGACTCGCAGTACGCCACCGAACTGGCTGCTTTCCAACCCGCTACAGTCTCATCGTTTTCAAATACGGAACACCGCATACAGAAGTGGTTTATGCAAATCAGGCAAGTATATTTCGTGCTCTCGAAGCAAGAGGAACACATATCGTCCCGCTCTTCCCGCTATTTTGTTCCAAATGATCAAAACAAGGTGTGTGCGCATGACAAAAATAGAAAACGTGCAGATCTCTGGGTAAAAATTAATTTATTTCCTGTATTTGTAATGTATGCATTAGGTTCGGTACATGAAAAGTTCGACGTTTGAATCGGAGTCGCTCCGTAGTCGAACTGACCGACTGGCCATGTCGAACTTAATTCCCGGGTCGACCCAAATAACATCTGTCGAACTTAATTGATTCAGGCCCGTTCCAAACGCCGCTCCATTCATGCGCCGAACCTAACTGATGAGTTAAGTACGGCGAAAGAGCGGCATTTGAATCAGTTTGGTTCGGCAGGTTAAGTTTGGTGCGGCAAATAACATTAAATTCGGCAGGGTCTGTCGCACCATGCGACGTTGGAGCGGCAGCTGATGATTCATACGGTGTTCTCCTCATGTGTCGAATCTAATGCATAAATTACTGTAATTTATTTTTCATACAACGGGACTCGTGATTGGCTCAAAATTGAGTGGCGTGACCAGTCATGCATGAAGTTCAAATTCGTCGCTAAAAATANAGGTTCGGTACATGAAAAGTTCGACGTTTGAATCGGAGTCGCTCCGTAGTCGAACTGACCGACTGGCCATGTCGAACTTTATTCTCGGGTCGACCCAAACAACATGAGTCGACCTTAATTGATTCAAACGTCGATCTCGTCATGTAATTAATTGGGGCTATTAGGTTCGGCTCGTGAAAAGTTCGACGTTTGAACCGGGCCTAAGAATATCTTTTATACAAGAAATAACAACTATCATTTCTATCCAAAAGCGATATTAAAGCCTGTTACAGGTGTTTAGGTTAGTCGGGGAGTAACGAGAAATGAACAAGAATAAAAGAGGTGAGGGGTGGGGTGGCGGTGGAGCGATCACTCCTCCCGAGGTTTTCTGCGTTTCGTACTTGTTTTGAGCCTTATGGTAGTTCACTGTATTATAACAACAACACAAACGTCAATGGTAAATAGACAAAACAGGATCAACTTTTTCTGATCTGTTTTATTACTTTCCGTTATAACACTCTCATAAAACAACTAACTACAAGGTGTTTGGTCTCCTAGCTAACAAGCAACACCTAGCAATAAGTTCATAAAACGCATATAAATATTTTTTAAAAAAGGCATAATTTTACTCCTGGTCAATGTTGTTCAAAGGGTGCATAAAATCCGTCCTTTGAGGACCTCTTAGCAACCAGGAGGAGCCGATAAATTCACTGCAATCAGCGCAACATATGTATCTGAACACTTAAATAAGAATACTGGATTATGACAGCAATGTCAATTTTGTAAAATCCAGGATAAAAATGAAGAGTCAAACTAAAAATACGACTCCAAGGTTCCATGGCGCCTGACATCACAGGTCCAGCAGTGGAAACCTCCTCCGAGAGAATTGGCAAAGCGGATGGAAATTGGGATACACTTGATTCCAAGATTCTCGAACATCTAGTGAGAAAAAAATGCTGTGTTAAACAATTTCGTTCGAATCGTTCCTCGAGTCTTCGTTCCTTACTGCAAGCTTGACTCAGCAAAAAGAAGCTCACTTGCCGACCGCTGGTCAAGGAAAACGAAGACTCTAGGTATAAGGTTGTCTTATCAAAAGAAGTTACCGTGTTGTGCATCGTTTACTTTCGTTGATAACCGTTTGACAACTTCTTAAGGGGTTCCGTTTCTTTTTGTCTAAAAGATAGTCCCAGACTTCTGAGAGTGAGGCTGAGATGGTAATGATAAGATTTTCCATAGCATATTTGATCAAAGAGAATCCGACATCAGTAAATCACATTATGAAAATAATCAATCATTTTGTCGACTGCATGGCAACAGCTCACAGTACCACTTAAACCTTTTTCTGCAGCAAAAATACTTCCGGGTCAGGGAGGCGCAGTGTTTAAAGAAAGCTCAGACATTGCAAGACAACGTAGCGTGCCATAAGGATTTAGAACGAGCGTGAAATTTTCGAGCAGCTCGCGAGCTCTAACGCAAACTTAGACTTTTGAAACAGAAGACTGTAATGAGTTAGAAAGCAGCAAGAGGAACCTTTTATCTATATCTCAGAAATAGTTTTTTCTTCATCAAAACTACCTTTTGAGTGGTTGTCTCGTTTTTATCGACCACGACTCTGGTTGGATCCAACATGAGAACATTCATGGACAGCCACTTGGACGACATCCATAATGGGTGTGTGTCCGGAATGAGAGGAGTAGGTGGCTTGACTACTGTCCAGCCAGCCTTGTGAAACATATCAATCTGATGACAAGGCCTGTCAGGATTGGACAGTACTAATCCTGGTCCAATGATGTTGAAAGTGGCGTCGATATGCATCGGGTTAGGATCATCAAAAGATAATTTATGAACGCGATATCCGCGTTCACCAAGATGGCGGCTCATCCACTCAATACCAAGGTTGTTGGTGACCTGAAACGATAGGGGATTAATAGTAAAATACGATCGTCATGAAAGACAAAAAAAATATTTCTGGAGTGTTGGGTTACTATCAGCCAGACAAGAACTGAAATACTACTTGCAACACATCTCCTAACATTCTTGAGCAGTTTGAAACAAATTCCTGCTGACTGACTGACTGACTGACTGACTGATTGATTGATTCATTGCTGACTGATTGATTGACTAACTGACTGATTAATTGATCGCTGATTGACTGACTGACTGATTGATGATTGATTGATTGATTGATTGCTGCTTGATTGACTGCTGACTGACTGACTGACTGACTGACTGATTGATTGATTGATTGATTGATTGATTGATTGCTGACTGACTGATTGATTGATTCATTGACTGATTGATTGATTGATTGATTGACTGCTGATTGATTGATTGATTGTTTGATTGATTGCTGACTGATTGACTGAATGACTAACTGACTGATGGATTGATTAATTGATTGACTGATTGATTGACTGAATGACTGACTTTCTGTCTATCTGTCTGTCTGTCTGTCTATATCTACCGTTTGATACTATTGCTGGTTTTCAGTGTCACGCAATTCAAAATAGATCAAAATAAAAATCAAAACCGGTCAACAGATA